GGCGGTGACGATGACCAACCATGGTGACGATGAGGATGGACAACAATGGCGGCGGTGACGATGACCAACGATGGGCAACCATGGTGAGGATGAGGATGGTGATGACCATGGCCAAAGATGACCATGACCAACCATGGTGAAGATGAGGATGGCCAACGATGACCAACGATGGCCACGGTGACGATGACCAACGATGGGCAACCATGGTGAGGATGAGGATGGTGATGATGATGACCATGACCAACCATGGTGAGGATGAGGAGATGGTGGTGATGACCATGACCAGCCATGGTGAGGATGAGGATGGTGGTGATGACCATGACCAACCATGGTGAGGATGAGGATGGTGATGATGATGATGACCATGACCAGCCATGGTGAGGATGAGGATGGTGATGATGACCATGACCAGCCATGGTGAGGATGAGGATGGTGATGATGACCATGACCAACCATGGTGAGGATGAGGATGGCCCACGGTGACCAACGGTGGTGACGGTGATGATGACCAACAATGACAGTGACCGATGATGGTGAAGATGATGATGACCAACGAAGGGCAACCATGGTGAGGATGATGATGATGATGATGACCATGGCCAAAGATGACCATGACCAACAATGGTGAGGATGAAGATGACCAACGATGGCTGGCAATGGTGAGGATGAGGATGATGACCATGACCAGCGACGGTGAGGATGAAGATGACCAACAATGACCAACAATGGCCACGGTGACGATGACCGACGATGGTGAGGATGACGATGACCGTAGCCAACGATGACCATGACTGATGATGATGATGATGATGATGATGATGACCATGACCAGCCATGGTGAGGATGAGGACAACGATGACCAACAACGACCATGACAGTGACCAGTGATGGTGAACAACAATGGCGAGGATGACGATGACCATGGCCGACAGTGACCATGACCAACGATGGTGACAGCGACAATGACAAACCATGGTGAGGATGATGATGATGATGACGATGACCAGTGACAATGACCACGACCAATGATGACCATGACCAACAATGGTGAGGATGATGATGATGATGACGATGACCAGTGACAATGACCATGACCAACGATGACCATGACCAACAATGGTGAGGGTGACAATGAGTGACAATGACAGCGATGATGATGCGCTGATAACGTCACCAATGACAATGACACCGATGACATCACTGATGATGATGACACCAATGACATCGCCGATGACAATGACGCCAATGATGATAATACCAATTACGATGACACTGATGACATCACTGACGACAATGACACCGATGATGATGACATCACCGATGACATCACCGATGACATCATTGATGATGACAACACAGATGATGTCACTAATGACAAACCAATGATGTCACCAAATGACATCACCAATGACAATTGCACCAATGACATCACCGATAATGATGATGACACTGATGATGCCACTAATGACATCATCGATGATGTCGCCGATGACGTCACCGCCGCCGCCCCGCTGCCGGGCCAGGCCCCTCCCCCATCCCATGCATGTTTATTGAACTCATTCCCGCCCTTTTCTCCCCAAAATCCGCCCCCGATCCGAAGGCTCCGCTCGACTCAAGCCCTTCGTTAATTAATTAACCCTGAACCCATTAATTAATTAACAGCAAACCTCAGGCAGCTCCCGGGCTTTCCCTTCCCGGTGTCCGTCCGGATTATCCCGGGAATTTCCCGACGCCGTCGCTTGGACTTCCAGAAAAAAATATCCACCGGATTTTTGGGGTGAATTCCCGGGAAAAACCAGGATAAAATCAGCGGAATTCCGTTCTCCCGCCCTGCCGGGGCCGCGGGGTTTCGGTTTGGGGTGAGAAAAGTCGGATTTGGGACGGTTTTTTGGGGGTTTTATTTTTTTCGAGATTTTTCGGTTTTGTCGTTTTTTTGCTTCCGTTGGGTGGGAAAAGAGAAAAAAAGAAAAGCAGGAAAAATCCTGAAAATCCCAAAAATCCCAGCTTGGATCCGTGCAAAAATTCCCAAAAATAATAAAAAAAAAAAGCTGTAAAGCCCCGGCTCTTTTCCTGCAGAAATAAATCCCTCTCCAGTGGAATTTTTGGGAATTCTGGGTCTTTCTTTCTCCCTCTTTTTGGGGTTTTATTTTGGATAAATTGGAAAAAAAGAGAAAATTCCGGTTTGGGATTGTTTATTTTATTTATTTATATTTTTTTTCTTGGGATTTAGAGCTTAAAACAGGGGGAAAAAAGCTGAAAATTGGGAATTTTGGGGGATTTATTTAATAGGAAAATGGGATTTATTAATAGGGTGGAGCTGGATTTATTAATGGGGAGTAATTGGGTTTAATTGATGGGAAAATGGGATTTATTAATAGGAAAACACGGGGTTAATTAATAGGAAATACGGGTTTTATTAATAAGGAATAGTAAATTTATTAATGGGGAATATGGGGTTTAATTAATGGGAATTATGGGATTTAATTAATGGGAATTGTGGGATTTATTAATTAAGAATATGGGTTTATTAATGGGAAATATTTAATTGGGAATGCAGGATTAATTAACAGGAATTACGGGTTTTATTAATAGGGAATATGGGAATTAATGAATGGGAATGATTTGATTTAATTAATAAGGAATGTGGAATTAATTAACAGGAATTATGGGAATTATTAATAGGGAATATGGGAATTAATGAAGGGGAAATTTGGGATTTGGGGGGGAATTTTGGGATTTGGGGAATTTTAGGGGAATTTGGGGGAGTTTTGAGGGAATTTAGGGGGAATTTGGGGGTTTTGGGGAGGGGAATTTTGGAATTTGGGGTTTTTGGGGGAATTTTAGGGGAATTTGGGGTTTTTGGGGAGGGGAATTTTGGGAATTTGGGGGAGTTTTG